TCGCGACTCTGAGGCTTACCCCACTCGACGAGGCACAGCTGAAAGCAGAGCTGCAAATTGCAAATATGCGCTCATCTGCTGTTAGACAGTTTGGTGAGGTCTGGCTGCAAAAGTCCATCCAGGTGTTTGGGGAGGACAGCCAGCTCACCTGCTGCAGGATCGGGACGTCTGCGACTACATGACACTTTGTGCGGGATGGCAGCATCGCAGGCGCAAGCACGAGGGAATGGATATGTGCGACCAGGAGCGTTTGGGTCTCAGTCGCGGCATAGATCTGTCGCTCCGAACCTCACTCTCCTGCGAGTTGCGAGGGCGATGCACAATGCCTCCTTGAAAGGTCTCGTGGTGCCCATGCTGGGCCTCTGGGCCCAGCTCTGCCGAACGGTGAAGGCATTGGCGGGGGACGGAATGCGCACATGAATGCGCTCCCTGGTCCTGCAGTTCTCCATAGCAGGCAGGTGGCGCGAACGAGAATCTCCGGAAGATCCACAAAGATCTCTTGACCTTGGAGGCAGGCGTCCCCAGGACCGTTTCTCGAGAAGACGTTTGCTTCAGGGATGGCCTGAGGGGATGAGAGCTGCGCAGGATCAAGAGGATCTTCCCCGAGACTTTCATGCATGAGACGGAGAACGGGCAGGAGGCAGAGCTAAAGAACGCATCTCTCATGTCGAGGCGGTGGCGGTTAATGCGAGTTTTGGTGATTGAATTTAGGAGCGTACCCTTTTCGGCAACCTTGTGGAGAGGCTGCAGGAGAGGGACGTCGGCATGGCTTGTCACTCTCTTCACTCTGCTTGCAAGTCCTCTTTGGCGCGCTGAGAGGACACCCTGAACCAAGAGCAGCTGCAGCCCGCTTCCGAGAAAGACAAGGCAGGGCCCACCGCAGTGCCCGCAGGGCAGTGTGTGGTGGCCCGGGGCCTGGGCTGCCTGCGTCTGTCGCGCCTTCTCTCTTTTGGGTCTCCCAGCAGGATGTTCTAGCGCCAGCCCAGCCGCCCCGCACATGATAGAGACATGGTCCGCAGCCAATAAATCTCTGCATCTGTCTATCCCTCTCTTTGGAGGAGAAGCGCAACTTCAAGGCGTTGGCCACGGCCACTGCAGCAGCCACTTCTCTTGCAAACCGCCGCCCTGACACCTTGCAGCTGCCGGCTTCGGACGAAGCCTCGGGCAGGCGCCTGAGCCAGGTCCTATCTCCCCCGCCAGAAACCTAGCGATGCCCGGGACCGAGACCTGCCTCTGCAGAAAGGAAAACCCTGTGCCGCTTGCAAGCCTGGGCCAGTGCAGGGGGCTTTTGAAGCTTGCGCTGCATGCGGCATCATGCGCGTTCTCTCAAAGTCGGCTGCGTGATTGCAGCCATTTCCTTGAAGCGAGCACGTGCTGCCGGCAACGTGCATCGCAGACGCCGCTGACTCGTCAAATCTCGCAAAATGGCGGGAGCTCACCTGCGACGTTGCCGTGCGCTGCTGAGGCGTCGGCGCCATGGGCCGGGGCAAAGCCAAAATCCAGGCAGGGGTCGGGTGGGTGGAGGAGGTGAGATATGGTGAGATTGTCTGTGGAGAAACGGAAGCGCTGCTGCATTGCCCATTGCAGGTCCCCGACTGCCGCTATGGTGCGGCTTGCACTCGAAGGCGTCGCCGAAGGGCCGAAGGGAGCGAGACGGGCAGGGGGCGGGGGCTTCTCCTAGTGTCTGCTTTTTCAGGGACTGCGTTTTCAAGCATCCGCCGAAACCAGCAAAGTCTGCCATCGCCTCAGCGGAAGCCCCATGGGAGCTTCCAGGAGCGTCACAAGCGTCAGGTGCGTCAACAAGCCCCTATCGAGAAGTCGGACAAGGCAGGCGCTTTCCATGGTATGCCGAGATCTGCTGAGAATCGCTGAAGAGCCGCTGTGGCACCCGGCAGCATGTTCGCCGTGCACGGCGCAAGACGCGCCCGCGCGCGCTCTCGCTCGGGCGCGCGTCTCGGCAGGTCTGCTTTGCCTTCGTGGCGGGGAAGTGCGCCTTCGGACGACAGTGCCACGATAAGCACCCGGACGAGGCGCGGAGATGCGGCAAAAGGTTCCTCTCGTGCCTTCCATTCCTTTGCATCAAAGGGTGCTCGTACTCGTAGCATCCTCAGTTGTAGCTCTCTTTAGTACCTGTGACTGTCTGAGCTGCCGCCCTGGCGCACGCGATCCGAAACTAGAACTGCGCGGCAAAGTCGGCTAGAGCTGTGAGCCCATGATCAACCCGAAACGAGCAGTGGGCCACGTGAAGGGACTTGGGAAGTGGAGTCACCTAGCGGTGGGTCTTTTTCTTCCCCCGCCTTCGAGAGCACATGCTTTCATGAAGCGCAGCAAGTAAAGCTTGGAGTCACAAAGGCAGCCGCAGAGGATGGTGATACTGAGTTTCACTCTTCCTCTTCCGCACAGAAGATCCTTGACGCCGCACGACTCCGTGGCATGCTCTGGGTCGGCAAGCCTTTCCCAAGTGTTCATTGTGCCAGCAGCCAGCAACGCTCCCGCCTGTTAAGAGAGAGGTTTGGGGGGCTGTTTTTGTTTGGCAGGCTTCCTGCCAGAGCATCAAAGAGCGCTATGGCAAGATCGACTGCCAGTGGGGCCGCGGTTGCCGAACCGACGGGCGCCGGGGACGAGAGCGAGAGTTCGCTCTGAGCCCTGAGCCCTCCCTCTCCTCTCCTCTCCTCTCCTCTCTCTCAACTCTCTCCTTTGCATCGCTTTTTTTTTGGGGGCATAGCTCCGCAGCAGCTGCGGCTGCAGCTGCGGCTGCATTGCGGCGCCATCCGCAGGTGCTTGTACCGGCATCCCAGCGACGAGCCCGTCGGCCCGGCCTTGCGCCTCGAGATGAAGCCACAGCCAGCGGCCAGGGGCCCAAAAAACGGCTGGGAGCTCTGCTGGAGCAGCTCTGCTGGGGCGTCTCCAGCTGTTCCTGCGCGCGCGTGCGCGTGGCGCGTGACGTGCGTTACAGAGCCAGGCTCATCTCTCTCATGGCCTTTTTTCACTCTCAGGTGTATGCGGCAGGTTACGGAAAAGTCTCCACTTTCAAGGTGGTCTGGCCCTTGCTCCGAAGTGTGGCGTTTCACTTGTTGGCAGCCTTGGCCGAGGCCGCCATCGACGACACCGACGACCGGAACGACCTACCGGTCTTTCGACACCTGGACGACCGGGAGGCGAACTCACGAGATCGAGATCGCTCGGTGCCGCAGCGAGACCGTCTACAAGAATGGCTCGAGGAGCAAGACGCCCCTCGCCCAGAATTGCGAAGGCCCAAGTTGTAGCCGCCCCGCTGCGCTGCTGCTCCTGAGGCGCGGGACCGGGAGGAGGAGGAGCTGAAAGCCTCCCAAATCGCCGGGGTCCCCAAGGCTGAGGCAAACCGTTTGCAGAGCTTGAGCAGCTTGAGCCGGCAGAGCTGACGCCTCCGCCTCTCAGGCTCAAACTTCCGCATCTCCAGTCCAGGCCCAAGCCCAAGTGCCGAAGCTGACCTGCTGACGGGGCCCTGCCCTGCGGGTCCTTGAGGTGCCTTTGCGTGCGCCCTTAGTCCTGCTGTCCTGCTTCTGCTTGCACTGTGTCTTTTGCACGCTTTTCGCGCTTCTTCGAACGACAAACTGCCAGGACGAGGAAGAAGAGGAGGGAGCCTGAGAGGGAGCATCGCAGCATGTTTTGCCTTTCATGAACCATGGGTCGCGCTGTCAGGAGCAGGAACGACAGGAGCAGCTCGCTGCCACACTGCGCTTCATGGGCTTTGTCGAGGCCCAAAGACAAAGAAGCAAGAGAGCTTCATGGAGCTTCTCCTCTCTCCTCTCTCTGAGTATCTCTCTCTGGTCTGGTACATTCTTGCGCGTGCTCCATTTGGCTCCGTTTCAGGAGCCCAGTCTCGAACCGGAGCCGCCTTCCCGGGAGGCTCAAGACCGGCCAGACCGGGAATTCCCGCGCCCCAACCCCACAGCGGCCACAGCGTCCACGGCGGGTTGCACGCGACCCCCCGCCGCTGTCACGTGCGATGATCGGCGAGATCCGGCGCCCTCCTCTTCGCCCGCCAAGCCCTGGCGCCCCGAACCACCGGAGCTGCCACCGCCCGGCCCCCCGCCGCCGGTGCACCACGCTCACGAGCTGAACCACGAGCTCCACGAGCAGCTCCACGAGCTGAACATGAACAGAGCCGTGCCTTGGCAGCCGGGGAAGCTGCGAGGTGTGCCTTCTGTTTCCCTCTTTAAGCGACTGGACTCGGAGACCTATGCTTCATGCGCGCCAGTCTCAGTTCTTTGGATAGTGATACACCAAGGTCGAAGACCTGCTGCGTGACCAAATCGACTGAGAAAAAAGGAGTCCGGCTCTTCTTTCTTTGTGCTTTGCTTCTTTGCTTCTTTGCTTGCTTAACTGCTTAAGTCTTGCCGCAAAGTATAGCTGGCGCTGTATCTTGCTTGGTGGAAGAACCCGATTTGGGTCCCGCCGTAAGAGGGCTAGCCACCGTGAAACTTCTAGCAGAGGGTAACCCTGAGACTTGAAAGCAAGCGTCGAGGGACATAAGCCCAAGGGCGAATATCGCCCGCAACAAATCGTGTTTTCGCGGTTCTTTCACGGCAAATGTCGGCCACAACAAACCGTACTGCCGCGTCTTGGGATGTAAAGATGACCTTACCGCCGACATTGGTTGCTCTTTCTGACCAACTGCCGGAACAAGCTGGTTCTCAGGGAGTTGAGGTTCTGTTTGAGCAAATGTCGGATGTAATGAATCGTATTGCCGGTATTTTGTGGTTCTTCTGAGTAAGTTCTGGCCACAACCACGCGTAGTGGCGGGTCTTCGATGTCGGCCACAACAGAAAGTATAGCTGTGGCAAACAAGGCACGCAACAAATCGTGTTTTCGCGGCTCTTTCAAGGCCAAAACAAATCGTGTTGGCGCGTCTTGGTGGTTCTGTCGGATGGAACAAACCTCGCTGTCACACATTTTTTCATTGAAGGGGAAAGTGCCGGCCGTAGTAACTCGTACTGCGGTTCTTCGGTGGTTCTTTCTGAGCACATGTCGGCCGTAACGCATCATTCTACTACAGGGTTTTGGCGGTTATCGTTTGAAGCCGGCTTCAGCGGTATTTGAAGCTAAGGGGACTCGGGATATGTAAAATGTAAAATGCTACATAGAAGAGTACCCATGAAGAATCGTCTTGGGTCAGCCGCTGGCCACAGGATGCGACCAGCAGTATTTTGCTTCGCGGCCTGCCCCAAGTCCCCAAGATTGGGGAAGTGATTCGAGGCCACCAGGAATTGAAATGAAAGTAAGACGCAATTACATGGTAAACCGGCGGGCTTGTAACTCAACCAAATGAGAAGGAGAGAGAGAAAGAGAGAGCTGCAGTCGCAGCATGTTCAGAAAGCGGTAATCGTGCCATTGCAACCAACCGAGTCGGCATAGTGCAGTGCCCTCTTGCAGCCGCTTTGTTCGTGCCACCGGCTAGCCTTGACACAAGTTTGTTTTTGTCTTTTCTTCAGATGCAATGAAGCTTTCATGCCGGCCACCGACCTTTTCCTGGCTTGTGACTTGGTGCTTGGCTCAGACTCCAGCAGCGCAGTGAGCACGAGTACACAGAAGCTATGAAGCATTGCTGCTAAATGAAATTGTGTCAGCTGCCGTGTCAGGACACTGTTTTCCCTGGCTTACGCAATGAAGCTATCGCAGGCAAGAAAGCAGGCTGTTGTGATGCACTAGGAGCCGTAGCAAACCAGAGCTGCGGACGTTGCAGGAGTTGAACGCTTCCACGTTGGGAGCTACAGCTACCGCGCACTACCCTGCCTCGGACTCACAGCTAGCGCTGCTTGTGGAGCAGGCTCAGCTTCGTGACTCTGGTGTGCAAGGGGCACTCATCGCCCGCTCCTCCGCCATGTCTCTCGCCAACGCCTCTGGAAAAGACTCGGACAACTCCCTGGACGCTGTTGTATCCGGAAAGCTTTTTGGGGATGCCTTCAATACCTTCAAAGGCATTGCCGAGACGCTTAAAAAATCAGGCGTCTGGCTTGCATCCAACATCTCTCCCCCCCTTACTGGGCTTGGAGTATAGTTGTTCTTTCCGCAGCCCACAAGTTTCATACACATCATAAACGCAAAGAAGCTCCTGCTCAGGCATGACCGTGGGCACTGCCTTCGCGAACACCGCCGTTGTGGTGGGGAACAGCGTTATCGACCCCCAAAAAATTCGTTTCGACGACTTGGGTGGAACCTTCAAAGACTATGTGAATCACATAGGCAGCACTGCCGTTGCTGTCGGAGAAGTGGCAGCGGACACCGCAATGGATGTTGCGCAAACAGCAGTAGAGCAGACAATCCAGCTTGCCAAGACAACCTTGGAGCATGCGAAGAAGACAGCTGAACAAGGGGTGAAGATGGCCACCAAAGTCGGGAAATTCCTTGCAGAGAAGGCGAAACAATTTGGGTCAGAGATCGCCAAGGTGGGGCCTTTGGTCGCAGGTTTTGCGGTGGCAGCCTGGGAGGCTGTCAAGAAGTGGGTCAGTTGCTTCAAGGACTCCAGCTCCCTTTGCCAAGTTCTGATCGGCAGAGTGTGCGACTGCAATGCTGGAAGTGAAGTCAAGATCGATCCTTTCAATCCCACGTATATGAAGGTGAGATGTGTCTTTTCGAAAACCTCTGACTTCACCCAGGGCTTCGGCATTTCCGCAAGCAAAGATAGCAATGGCAAGGAAAATGTACTGCCAGGCAAGGAGTACCAGCAAGCTTACAAGATGTTGGGCCAAGCCATGAAGACTCGCGATCAAGCTTTGAAGGAGACTTGCCCGAAGCCCTTTTAGAGTCTTTGGAGCTCTTTAGCCGTCTAAGCCAGTCTGCGGCCGTCTGCGACCTGAAGTGCTGAGGAGCTCGAGACACCTGCGGCACCTGGCAAGTGCGAGGCAGGCCTCAATGTGGCTGTAGATGGAGTCTCGCAGTTCAGCCCAGACCTCACCATGGAAGTGAACACCGATGGGTGGACTAAGCTCCCGGGTTCAGGGATTGTAATCCTTCATTGTGATGCCTGTGCCGTGCCCCGCCGTGTGCAACCTCAGGATCGCAATCAAGGGCAACATCCGGACATCTTTCGACACGCTCGTCTCAGGGCAGGGCAGCTGCCAGTACACGCTCGCGAAGCCCCTGCATGATCCCATAAAACAGGTGGTTTGCGCTTCGAAGTTCTGTACCTCGCCCGTTCAGTGACGCGTGTCTCCAGGACTTACGCAACACTCACAGCACTCTGCCAGAACCTTTAATCGTCAAGCGCCGGTCTTCTGGGCACGCTGCCAGATGTGCTTGTGCTTGCAGGCATCATCATAATGCTCTCGACATCGGTGAAGCTTGTGGGGAAGGGCGTTCTCACCGGAACCATCGAGATGTCCAATGAAGCGTCGTTCGACGTCGATGCGACTGTGGAGCTCGACAAGCACGGCAGGTCCAGAGTGCTGGCGGACAGCCCAGGCATGAAGCACCAGGCCAGGTCCAGGATTCTAACCCAGGGTTGATGCGTGATGCCCCTGCTTGAGGAAGCCATCACGATTGGGGCAAGCGCGGAGGCTTCAGTGACCTTGAGTGTGGGACCAGAGCTCATGGCGACTCGCCTGGAGGGCCAGGGGGGGTCAGCTCTGCTGCTCGAGGTTCGGGGCAGTCGGGGCAGTCGGCTGAGGTCTGGCCTGTACCAGGCATCCCGATCACCTTCGCCCCCAAGCTCAATGCGGAAGCCAAAGCGAAGGGCACCATCCAGCACCCTCCAGGCGCGGAACCCGTAAGAGAACACAAGCAACCGACAGCCCATCAACAGGACCACAACCACCATGCCACCATGCCACCATGCCATCACCACCCCCAGCAGCCACCACGATCATCAATCACTGGCAGACGGCTAGCGACCATGATATGGACAGGGTCTTCACGCGTCCAGCGTTAGACCAGCCTCAGTTCACAGCACCGGCTTTATTCATTAGCCATGCTGTGCCCGTACCCCGAACCCCCCAAACCCTAAACACTAAAAACCCAACCCTGAAACTGTCAGTGCTAAGTCGGCTCGAAGGTGCATTTTTCCTCGCCGAGCAACAACGCTTGTTCTCGAACGCGAGTTTGGATGTCGAGTCGGCCAAGCTGGGGCAGGAGGGCTGAGTCAGAGCTGACACAATTGCAAGACACCACACCGAAGCCCATGGACGGCCTCAAATCTCAAGCTCTTTGCTGCCTAGAGCCTCCTCCTACTTCTAATACTACTACTACTACTACTACTACTACTACTACTACTACTACTACTACTACTACTACTACTACTACTACTACTACTACCACTACTACTGCTGCTGCTACTACTACTACTACTACGGCTTATGTTGATGATGATGATGATGATGAGGATGATGATGGAGATGATCAGGTTAATTAACGATGCTGTTGAAGATGGCGAGGATGATGGTTATAAAGATGATGATGATGAAGATGGTCAGGTTAATGTTCATGTCACAGCCTTTGGCGATCATGCCCAAAACACTGGTATGCACAGCATCTTTTGCTGTTTGTACAACATGCTGCACAAGGATGTGGAGCAAGACACATTGTCACAAGCATCCTATTACTGCTACTGCTACCGGCGCTACTGCGCTATTGCTTGCGGTCAACCATGTCGTTACTAGCCCACCCCACCCGGCACCCCAGCAAAACGCCCAAAAAAGCATAAAAACAGAGGTTAACGCCAGGCGCCAGGAGGCGCGGCTGGCTACTGCACTGCTACTACTACGACTGCTACTACTACTACTACTTCTTCTTCGACTACTACTACTATTTCTACTACTACTACTACTACTACTACTACTACTACTACTACTACTACTACTACTACCACTACCACTACCACTACCACTACTACTGCGACGCCCACAATGGGCGATTCGCCCAGGAAATGTCCGGGAGCCTGAAGTTTGCCAGTGGGCAATGTCCTCAAAACCACCATGCATCACCCACTCCATGCTTTGAGGCCTTAGGGTTTCGCACCCACTCACTCCTTTCAGGGCCGAGGGCTTCGCAACCCGACTCTGGCCTTTTGGGGCTTAGGACTTCGCACCCACTCACTCCTTGAAGGGTTTATTAGGGCCAGTTTAAAGCAAAAACACAAACAGCGCGCACGCAGAATCCTCGAGAGTGTTGTGACTTTCTGAGGCACGGGGTGTCCACTGCCGTCCTCAGGCCATGTGCCGAATAGCACGCAGCCTGGCAGCCAAACGAGGCCCCGCCCCGCTCAGCAAGCAAAAAATACAAACAGCGCACAAGCAGAAAAGCCGGAGAGGGTTGTCATTTTCGGACGCGAATCGAAAATGGGGTGTCTACTGCCGTCCTCAGACCATGTGCCGAATAGCACTACTACTACGACGACGAGGGACGACGACACCGACACCGACGACGACGACAACGACGACTGCTACTATTGGTACTAGTACTAGTACCAGTACTGGTACTAGTACTGGTACTACTTACTACTAGTAGTGGTGGTACAAGTACTGGTACTGGTACTAGTACTACTACTACTACTACTACTACTGCTACTGCTACTGCTACTGCTACTGCTACTACTACTACTACTACAACTACTATTACTACTACTACTACTATTACTACTACTACTACTACTTCTACTACTACTACTACTGCTACTACTACTACTACTGCTACTACTACTACTACTACTACCACTGCTACTGCTACTGCTACTGCTACTGCTGCTGCTGCTGCTGCTGCTACTACTGCTGCTGCTGCTGCTGCTGCCACTACTACTACTACTACTACTGCTACTACTACTACTACTACTACTACTACTAAGGGTCTCGGCTGAAGCAGCAGGCGCAGTTAGGTCCCTCCCTTGAGCGACACTCCACATGGTGAAGCTGCATTGCTGGCTGTGTGTATACTGCGTACTTTTGCAGAAGATGACTACGCTTCAGCAGGGCGGGTCCCAATTCCCGCCATCTCAGAGATTGCCACCTGGATTATTCGATGAAACTGAGATAGACCCGAGGGTTGTGCCACGCCCCACTGCGAGCACAGGAGCCTCTTCGGGGGTGAAAAACTCTGGTGCAGGAGAGGCGATGGCTGCTCCACTGAGCACAATCAGAAAACGAGCATTCAGAAGAGCAAGGAGGCGCGCTGAACTCAAGGGTGCTACATGGTATCGTGGGGAATGGCGGTCTGCGCACTCCCTGGGTACGAGTCCAGACACAGCGAGTGTCTCTACCGCACCAACCCGACCGGCACAGCCTGCGCGTACTAGGACAGCTCCGCGCCTGCGAGTGATGACATACAACATGGGTGGGCTGGATCCAGCCTCCTATGATGTCTTCTGTGATTGGCTGCAACAACAACGTGATACTGACATTATTCTTGCACAGGAGCTGCACTGGGGTTGTGGGAAAGATGAGGCGAGTTGGACCATAGGCGGCTGGCATGCCATTATCAGCCCAGACCCCAAACAGCGCTACAGTGGTACTGGGGTCTTTGTTTCTGGACGCGTCGCCTCTTCGGATCAGATTGCCTACAACACCATCATCCCGGGCAGACTTCTGCACGTGAGATGCACCCGGCAAGCAGTCACGCTGGACCTCATTGCTGGGTATCAACATGTCTGGCAAGAGAAGCGCAAAGATGCGGTGGCGAAGCAGAGGCACACCTTCTGGACGCGACTTGGAGTTCTCCTGCACTCACTTCCTGTGCGTAATCTGTTGATTATGGGCTGCGACCTGAACTCTGGTATCAAACCGATTCCTGGCTTGATTGGCAGAGGTGTTCTTCATACTTCTCGTGTTTCGGATCCGGAGTTGGAAGCCATCATTAATACGCATCATTTAGTCTTGTTGAACACATGGGGTAGAGCCACCTCGGGTCCCTGCCATACGTTTAAGAACGGGAAGGTCAGGACACAACTCGACTTTCTGATAACGCGTAGGCTCACTGCAGATGCGGAATCACGACGTTCCGCTCCCATCGCTTTAGATCTCATGCCGTGGAGGCAAGGTCCCAAGCACAGACCCGTGCTTGGCAGCCTTCTGTGGGTAGCGGGATGGACTAGAGCACGCCCCCGACCTGCAGGTGGATGCTCACTGCCACACCTGAGGCAAGCCATTCTCGCAGAAGGTTCGGAAGCGCAACAGCTTCGTGTAGTGGTGCGCACAGCACTGACTGCACTGCCAGATGATCCTGCGCTTAAGCTTAAAGCCCTGAACCAGGCTGTTATCCCGCAGTGTGCCGCCATGTTTCCACGCAAACCAGCCAACAGTAGACGGCCGCGAGACTCACCTCTCGTCAAAAGCTGCGTAGCAAACATGTGGCAGCAGCATCGTGCGCTGAAACGCTTTGGGCCGAGTCCGGACAGGACACACATCTGGGGAGCCTGGCGACAGTATGCGGCCTTTAAGGCAAGTGTCAAGCAACTGCAGAAAACCAGTAGACTTGCTAGGAAAGCCCATGTCGAGACTCTTATCCAACAAGCTGAACAGGCGTCCCAGAAACAGGATCAAGCTGAGGTCTATCGAGTCATTAATCAGCTGGCCCCCAAAAAGCGTGTTGAAAAGGTTCCGATCCGGTCAGTAGATGGCAAGCTTCTGGACAAGCAGCAAGAGTTCACGGCAATCTACGAATACTTCAGCAAGGCTTTTAGTCGTACTGAGCAATATTCCCGCCCCTCCCTCAGCCCGCTTAGCATTACACCCGCGGAAGTTCAACATGCCATTAAGCTGCTCAAAAATGGGAAGGCGGTTCCACCTGGTAGCATGCCGGCAGAACTCTGGAAGCTGTGTCCGGAAGAACTCTCCGAGGTGCTGTCGACTGTGCTTGCAAGCAGCGAAGAGAACGACCAATATCCGGCCGAGGTTGTAGATTGTTCCCTTAGTCTCCTCCCTAAGCCCAACAAACCCACCCGCCTCCCGAAGGATCTTCGACCCCTAGGCCTCCAGGACCCTAGTGCCAAGCTGCTAGCGGTCGTCCTCCGCACACGTCTGCTGGACATTGTCCAAGAGCGATTGAGGCAGATCCCACAATTTGCATACTGCCCTCAAAAGGCGATCGATCAGGCAATTTCTAGGGTAGCGCAGCATTGTCATCGGGTTAGAGAGGTTGTCAAACATAGCACGGTTAGCACCCATGACCGTCGGGAGGGTCTCATGAGATCCCAATGCACAGGGGGATTAATGATCAGTCTGGATCTTAGCCGTGCCTTCGATCTCCTGAGCAGATCCGCCTTGGACCGTTCACTTCAGGCGGCATCAGTGCCAGAGGATCTTCGAGCGGCCATTCTTGCCATTCACGAATCATGCAGATACAGTGTTGCACATGGCACGTACTGTGATACCTTCGACCTACAGGTCGGAGTCAGACAAGGTTGCGCGCTCTCACCGCTACTGTACGCATTGTACACGGCTTGGCTTTTCGAACGCATAGCCTCGGAGACCTCTGCGCACTGGGCCCAACACTTTCTGACGATTTTTGCGGATGATAAGCACTTGGCTTGGGAGGTCACCAGCATTGAAGAGCTTCAATTCGTTTGTAAGTGCGTACAGGTCACGTACAGGCTCCTGCAGGACAGCGGAATGCAGGTAAACCCCGAAAAGTCCAAAATAGTGGTGGCGCTTAGGGGGAGTGCTGCTGCCAGGTGGTTGCGTAAACACACGCAACGCACACCAGAGGGCACCTTTCTCGACCTGGGCACTCCACATCAGCCACTTAGGATTCTTCAGGTTTCGCAGATTGTCTATCTAGGAGTTGTTGCGAGCTACACAGGGTTCGAAATGCAGACCTTCAAGCATAGGCAACGTGCAGCAGCTCAGAATCGACAACGCCTGCTGAAGCTGTTTCACTCTCGAGTACTCTCGCAAGGCCAGCGAGTTCGCCTCTACCGAGCTTGTGTTGTCAGCTCTTTGTTGTACGGATTGCATGCGGTGGGTATTACTGCTCCGGTATTGCGTGCTCTAGAGGCTACAGACGCGAGAGCACTGCGGGCTTTGGTTCGGTCACCCGCACATCTGTATCACGAAACCACGGATAGCATTAGGGCCAGACTGAAGGTTCCGTCCCCGGGTGAGATGCTCCAGAAACTTCTTAACAAGCGTTGTAAGGTTGTTCAGGAGCCTGCGCTGCAAGAGTGGTTTCAGATACAAATCCGTGCACTAACCGCGAAGGATGCTGCTGCGTGTACACCTCCCGAGGTCCACTTAAGTCGCGAAGGAATACCAGGGGTGCCATGTCCCGTTTGTGGAATTGTTTGTGTGAGCCACCAGCACATGCTCTCTCACTTTGCACGCAAGCATAAACCTGAGTATCAGGAGGCCCAAGCTGGTCCTGCCAAGGACCCCAGGTGGTACATGCAGCATGCAGTTCGGGGAATGCCACACTGTCGGCACTGTGACAAGCGGTTCGTTCGGTTTGAGGGTTTTAAAAAACACTTGAAACAAGCCTGTCCTGTGTTACATAAACCTCACAGTAGCCAGCCCGTTGTTGTTAATGAGGATGCAGGGCATGTCACTGAGCCGGAGGTCAAGGTAGCCTCCGCTCAGGAGGGGTCCCATGGGCTTAGGAACCCGACCCCTCAGACATGCCCTCCTGGTGAACCGGAGTCTGTGGAGTCGCTGACAGAGCCTGTGCCAGTGCTAGCCGAGAACCCTGAGTTCCGTCGAATGTCAATGCACAGCTGGCAGAGTGTCCTGCGCAAGCCGGAGTACTGCAAAAGTTTGAGCACGTACTGTGCCCTCTGTGGGCAATGGGCTGAGCGCACGGGGTTTAAGCAGCATATACGTCTTAAACATGCCGAGTCGCACGCGGTCCATGCCAGGGCAGTTGCACGCAGCACGCAACTTGGGCTTATAGCGATTTCGCCGTGCCGCTACTGCCAAGCCCCGTGCAAACAGCCGGCGCGCCACCTTGCCGCCTGCCCTGCAGTATACCAAGCATCTCTGCTTCCGCTCATCTTTGCTTCCGCTCAGGTCAGCCATGAGCGTTGCCATGGACACGGACGAAAGTCAGAGAGCGGCGGTGGCCCAGACCGAGCTCAACCTGCTGGGACTCCCTCGAACAGCGCCTCCAGCAGCACCGAGCGGCCCGATGCAGTCCACACCGTTGGAGACAGCGCAGGAGGACTGGAAGGACAAGGACGATCGGGAATGGCAACAGGCCCGGGACTCCGACTGGCAGTCCCAGAAGTGGCGCCGGCCCTCCTCGAAAGGCACGGGTCGGAATGCGGAGAACTGGTCCAAGCGCAAGTATCCGGAGGAGAATGTCGACCAGCAGGGGACCCTGGACAAGCAGACGCAGGTCCTCCTGCAGATGATGACCCGGATGACGCTACGACACGACCAGGAACTGTGTCGGATCCGCTCCGACACATCGTTCATGCTGTTCAGCGATGTCGGCGACCACGGCTGCCTTCCGCAGATGAAGGCCACGGCGGAGAACTGGTCCGAGCTGTTCACCCAGGGGAAGGTCACCTGCTCCCTCAAGGTGATCATGATGCTGAACCTTGTCAAGCTACTGAGGGAAGCCTTGGGAAAGGCTCTGCAGGACGAGACCCTGGCCGAGAAGTACCGCTCCCTCTCCTGGCTAGTGGAGGGAGAAAACGCGCTCTCACCGTGCTGGACCTACTTCGAATGGAATCCGGCCGAAAAGAAGGAGGTGCGCTCCCAACAGGCCCCACTCAAGCATCAGGAGGTGCTGAATATCCTCGACAAGATGGATCAGGCCATCCCTCTGCAGGGCGTGCTCACCAACTTCCGCAACACCAAGGGCATGGACCAGGGCAAGGAGAGCGAGGTCATCCCCTTCATGATCAGCATCGGCCTCCGCCACCCAGCGACAGCGGACATCCACGCCGGCCTCGTAAAACTGTCCGGATGCTCCTGCATGAAGCTGGTGGGCTGTCGCCTACGACCGGATCGGGGACAGCGCCCGCAGCTGGCAAAGCAGCTCGAGGAAGCCTTTCAGGCGACGAGCTTCTGCGATTGGGCACCTCGGCGCGCGAGGTAAGTGGCCCAGGTCGGCCGCTTGCCACAGCCGTGTCTAGGTCGACACGGCATGCTATGAGCGAGGGACCCAGATATCCCCTCCCTGCTGCACAGTTACGCAACCCTGACAATCTCTGCTATGCCAACTCAGCGCTGCAGGCCCTATATTGGACGGGCGTCTTGCAGGGGCAGCCTTCGGCCTGTTATGGTGCCATACAGGCTGGCATGTCAGCTCTTGCCAAATCCGGACACCAATACCTGCCCGCAAACCTCCACCTTCAGGTCATCTTTCGAGGATGGCCCAGCCTGCACAGGCAGCAGGATGTGGTAGAGTTCCTGCAGCATGTTCTAGACATAGCTCAACCTGCCGTGTATTCGGGTATATGGGAAGCTAGACTCACGAACCCGCACACTGTCACTGAAGCAGGTCGGCTGGCGTGCCCCTTGATGCTGCACTTTCCAGGCCGTGATCTGCAGTCCATGATTCATGCCTGGCATCATCAGTACTCCACGCATGCGCTTGTGTCACACTCTGGGACCGTTCTGCTGCAGCTCTGTCGGTACACAGACACAGGCACGGGCACTGCTAAGACTCGGCAAGTGCTACATCTTGCAGCAGGTGACAGCGTCCAGCTTCCTGTCTTTGCTGAGCCGCAGCAAGACACTGTACGATGGGAGTCCTTTAGGATCATTTGGGTTCTGTTTCATAGAGGCTTAAGGGTCACTGAGGGGCACTATCAGGCTGCACTGTGTCTCCCAACCAGTGAGGGCTGGACCTTTAAAATCTGTGATGACTCACGTGCCCCTAAAGCTCCCACTGCCCGCGACATGCAAAGTCTAGACAGGGATGCGTACCTGATTGGACTCCTGTCGGCGGGAAGCTTTTCTGAATAACAGCGCACAGTGCGCGGGGAGGACTTTTCTGCACAAGCCGCTGTCCTCTCTGCGCTGCATGCTTAATGCTCGATAGTTCTGATGCTGTCGCCGAAGCGCCGAATCAGCAACCGGAGCCGTCGAAAACACCGAACTCAATCCGTTAGTCTGTCTGTATGAAGCTGCAGTGCCTTCATACCGGCCCTCGTCCTACCTGTCGCATGGTGCTGCTTAGCTGGTTCAAGCTTCTCGGTGGCCCAGGTCGGCCACCTGAGATATTGTGCCTAGGTCGGCACATTTGCTGTCCTGCGGTGCCCTTGGCCACGCTCCCAGCATGTGCACTCTTCGTGTCTCAGGCATCTCCGCATTGGCTGTCCTTGCTTTGTCTGTTCTCCTGCTCATACAGCAGTAGTCAGCTTGAGGTTAATGGCCTAGGTCGGCCATTGCCTAGTGCCCAGGTCGGCACGTTGTCACGCATGGCTGTGAAGCTTGAACTTCCTGGCGATATTTACTATGATGCTCTGGAAAGCTATATGCTCACTGCACAGCTTACTGAGCTCATGCGATGGCAGCAAGCAGTGATACCGGCCGCACTCAGTCTGACAGCCAGGAATGATATCTTTCGGTACGCGCGTACTCTGCTTCGGCCGGAGCTATACCAGCTCTTCTCGCGCTACTCTGAGCAGTACTCGCGCGTGGTGCCATGTCCGATGCCTGCTGTTTTGCCTCCGCCAGATGACCTCGCCAGTGAAAGGCCCAGCCTAGCGGAACAGCATGCTTGGATGCACCTTCAGACTGGTGGTGGCTCGCTTTGGGAAGCTGTGCGACAAACAGTGGCCTTACTTGATTTCGAGGCTCCAAGGCAGGTCATGATGAAACAGCATCGTCAGGCCAGGAGCTTTCATCTTGGAGTCTGTGCACGCGGACCTTTGATTGGCATTTGCAAGGCAACGCCGCTACACCACAACGTGTGCCGTCTGCTTACATTTCTGGTCAAGCATGTACATCCCGAGCACAGATTTACAAGCCTGGCTGTCAACGTCAACTATTTCACTCCGCCACACAAGGATACCCAAAATGGTCCGCAACACAACCTTATCATCAGCCTCAGCCAGCAGGACCATGGAGGCCTTTGGGTTGAGGATCCGCAGGGCAAGATCTACTTGGAGCATCAAGGCGAGCTTCGACGTGGCGAGCACTTTTCTCTGCTTGACCATGCCCTGGTTTTTCCGGCTCATCGCAATCTGCATGCCAGTTATCCGGAGAGGTCGGCTCCTTTAGCATCCGAACTTGATCGGTTTACGCTGATTGCGTACACAGTTCGCAATTGGGCGAGCTTGCGGGCACCCATGCGCACGCGCCTGCAAGCGGTTGGCTTCGACCTGCCAGAGGATGATGGCCCCAGCCAAAGCAGTTTGCCTCCCATGCTCCTGCCCACGGTTCTGATCTGAGAGTGGCAGCCAGTACGGAGTGCTCTTGCATTGCCACCACTCCCTAAGACCCCTCCCGCTGTTGCCTGTGCTCTAGGATTTAGGGGTTGCTTCGATTGTCCTTAGGACTCTTAGGGTCCTTTTGCGGTTCCTGCAACTTACTCCACGAATGGTAGCGGGACAAACATACCCTCCGATGCAGCAGCTTCAATGCACCATGGGTTAGGCGTTATCGCTATTGCTATGAGGCCTGCGCGGGCCAGTGAAAAGTTGCAGTGAAAAGTTGCAGTCTGCATGCCTGCCTGCAACATTCTCCAGCCAATGCTACATCTGCATTTGTGCCTTGGCCCTGTGCTTCCTGCACCTAGGTCATGGCTGAACGTATGGCAGCGCCTTCTATGGCTGCGTCCTTGCCGAATGCGCCTCAGCTATGCATAACCCCGGGCTGTGGCAGATCTTTTCTCGGCAGGCCACACAGACACTGCTGTTCTTTGTGTGCGGAGGGCATGCACACTCGGCGGTGCAACAAGAAGCAGCGTGCACTCCTGCGGCTTCATATCACGACCTGCAGATTGGCTGGATGCGAGAGGAGGGCGGATGTTTCGCACACCTATTGCTGCTCTGACTGTCGCTACTATCAAGGACGTTGTCATACTATTGGATGTGAACAGCGGCAGCATCTCCTCTTTCAGAATGTGGCGAGCTCTGGAGTACATGGCTCCAGTCAAGGAGATGCTGATAACTCGGAGGCACAGCCAATGGAACTGGTGACACTGCCTGCAGAGCAACCCTTTCAAACGCTCTTTTTGCAGCAGCCTCTGGTGGTCCCTTCAGGCAATACCTGCATGACCACAGAGGTGACGAATGATGCTACTCTGGATGTGTGCGGGGTGCAAACTGCACAGACAGCCATCGAACAGTATTCAGGCAGCTCCAGCACCGCTACTGGACCGGCGACGGGGCATACTTCTTTTCTGCAGCAGATGGATTGAGTTTTGGTTTCTCGACGACCTCGCAAGCTAGTTTTGGTATAGTCGCGATGGCAAGAAGCTCATAAGTAGCCTTGCTTCAGATGGGTTGTACCAACACGGTACAGCTGCCACGAGCAGCCGGACCAAAGGTCTGACCTCCTCGTCAAGCACTCGGATCGTGCGACGCTCGGAATGAATACTACTACTACTATTACTACTACTACTACTTCTACTACTACTAATACTACAAAAACTACTATTTCTACTATTATTACTAATACTACTATTACTACCGCTACTACTCTTAACGCCCACCAAACACCACCCAGCACCCAGTACCCACCACCCACCACTACCACCACCAGCAGCACCACCACCACCACCACCAGCACCACCACACCACCACCACCACCACCACCACCAGCACCACCACCAGCTCCACCACCACCACCAGCACCACCACCAGCACCAACACCACCACCACCACCCCCAACGCCACCGCCCCCGTTTCCGGCCCCGCTCACCGCGTAACATGCAGACTGGCAGGAGAAGAAAGCAAGGTTGAAGCAATGTGGTGCTGCCGCCCGGAGCTTGGCTTTCTCGCTTGGAGGTGTATGGGGAACGAGTAGGTATAAGAACGTTTATGCATGTTATGAGACCGATTATGGCCATAGTTAGGTTGCTGATTCGATGTGAGAGTTTTCATAGCTTGTAGGATGTGTGTTTCACTATGCGTGACACTGAACTTGGCCCAAGCTTGCAAAATAGCATGCTGAGAGTTTAGCCCAAGCATAATCTCCGTTCATGGTAGCGGAGCGGCTCGGTTGAAATCGCTTTGAATGTGCGGGACCTGCTGCCGCAGAGCAAGACGGAGCAGCGTCATTGAGAATCGCTGGGCATGATTGGTTCGGAGATTGCAGCGGATTCGCCGGCTGCAACTTATTTGGCACAACCAAGGATTGCAAGTGCAGGCTGTGCTCAGAACACAGACATTCAAGAAGTTGCTTTCGAGGACACATCCTCGAGAGGATTGAACCACTCAGGCGATTCGGCCTGAGGAGGTGAAAAGGAAGGATCAATGGCAACAGCAGAACAGTTGATACAAGAATTTGCAGCGCTGAGGCAAGAGCCCGCGCGCCAGGATCAGCAGCACCGCCAGGACTTGGAGCAAGTGAAGGCAGAAAGCCAACAAAGAGTGAACGAAACTACGCAGGCTGCAGTGGCTGCGCAAGGGCAGCTAGGCTCGATACCAGAAGTTGTTCGTGAAATCTGACAATCGTTGAAAACAGCTCTGAAAGACCACAGCAAAGAGCTGGTGGAAGCCATGAAAAGTGCCCCAAGTAACAGGGAGAAACTGGTGTTGGTGGACACCAAAGGGCTCGGGATCAGTGGAGATGCTGAGCAGCATCTTCCATGGAGACATGGGATGTTAGCATATGTTTGCTCAATCTACCCGGAGCTTCGCGACGTCTTGGAATCGTGTGAAGAGCGAGAAAGGAGCACTTCGTCGAATGAGCTTTCTGAAGCAGAGATAGATCGAGTTCCAAACTTGTTTGAGAAGTCCACTGAGCTATCCTCTGCTTTACAGGTGATCACTGCGAAAGAGCCATTTGCTATCGTGATCAGTTGCAGCACCAATGGCTTTGAAGCCTGGCGAAGGCTAGCTCGTAGATATGATCCTGCAACAGCATCAAGGAAACGATCCATGCTGAAATCGGTGATCAATGCACAGAAGCAAAAGCTGCAGC